GGCAGGAATAGGCCTTGGGTTACTGCTGGTAATCCTGTCTTCCTCTTGTAGGGTTAGAGGAGGTTGGAACATGTGGCCTCCTTGCCGTTTTTGCAACCTTATACAAACTGTTATAGAGAATATTAAAAAAGGAGATATTCCACAATTCATTGTAAGAGACCAGCTCTGGTAGCGTAGTACCTAAGGCACTTGACTGCTAACCAGAAGGCTGATGGTTCAAACCCACCAGCCACTCCTTGGAAGGAAGGCTGGGCAATCTACTTCTGTAGGGATACTGCCTCAAAAACCCAAGGAGGGGTCGCTATGAGTCGGGTCTGACTCGATGGCACATAACAACAACAACAGCATAACCTGGATGTTAAAACCAGTGGAAGATAATACAAGAAAAGAAAATCACAGGCCAATCTCATTTTAAACATACACAAAAATTTCTAGAATCCAGCAATGTGTATTTATATGTATATGTGTATGTTTATGTATGAATATGCAAATGTGTGTGTGTGTATCAAGACCAAGTAGTGGTATCCCAGAAATTCAAAGGTGCATTAGAAAACCAGTTAATAAACATACCACATTTACAGATTACTGGCAGCCCCTGGATTACAAACAAGCTCTGTTCCTATGTCTGTCTTTAAATTCAATTGTATCTAAGTAGAACAGCCACTCCTCGGAAGGAAGGTTGGGCAATCCTACTTCCGTAGTGATACTGCCTCGGAAACCCAAGGAGGGGTCGCTATGAGTCAGGGCTGACTCGACGGCACATAACAACAACAACAGAACAGGTAGGTAGTTCGCATCTACGTCTGTATTTAAATTAAATTATATGTAAGTCAGAACAGTTAGGCAGTTGGTATCTAATGTCAGTTAGTCAAATGTTTGTGTAAGTATACAGTGTACCTTTCTGTGCATAAAAACCATTAAAGAAACACTTCCAAAAACACTAAAATATCTTTAACATAATAATAATATTTGGAAGCAAGTCTCAAAGTAGCACCCATTTGTTATTACCAACCATTATATTCACTTCGAATTTTTAATATAATAGGCTTTACAGGAATTGGTTCATAACTAGAGTTTGTACATAAATCAGACGTTAAAAACAGGAACTACCTGTAAGTGTGAAAACCTAAATTATCACTTTAATGAACACATGCAAATCATTTTTAACTGAACATTCATTCTTAACATTTAAAAAAAATTAAACGGAAACAGAAAATCTTTCTGGTAAACCAGAAAGGACCATCACTAACCAAAAACAGAGCATTTTGAAAAATCTGTAGTAACCATCATACATACTTAATGGAGAAATGTACCAATATTGCCAAGTCAGGAGCAGGGTGAAGAAAGCTGCCAACATTATTTCCACTCAAATACTATGTGTTATGGACTGTGTCCCCCAAAATATGTTGTAAATCCTAATCTCTATGCCTGTGGTTTAATCCCATTTAGGAATGTGTTGTCTTTGCTATGTTAATAAGGCAGGATTAGCATAGGTGTATCTTGGGCCAATCTCTTTTGAGATATAAAGACATTCAATACAAGCTAGCTAGGAGAGACAGGGAAGAGAGACACCAAGCACAGGAAGGTTGCTGAGAAGAAACAAGAACCTTCCTCCAGAGGCAACAGAGAAGCACTTCCCCTAGGGCCAATGCACTAATTTCGGACTTCTTGCCTCCTAAACTGTGAGAAAATATTTATCTGTTTGCCACCCATTTGAGGTATTTCTGTTACAGCACTAGATAATCAAGATACTATGCTTGAGAAAATGGGAGTAAGGAAACTAAAAAATAGAAGAAATAGAAAAACAAACCACAAAAAACAAGACCATTAGGAAGTAACCACAAACATCCAGGTAAGAGATGATGATTTTGTGAACTAGGCAGTGATGCTGAAAAGTAGATCACTAAGAAAAATTCCTGCGATATTAAGAAATCACAAAAGTCAGTGACTATGTTTTTACAAGTCTAGTTAAGACTATTGGGAAGATTATACCAATTTTAAAAACAGGAAGAAATTATACCAATTTTAAAAACAGGAAGAAAAATGAACATTAATGTGAATAATACAAGGAATCATGTATCAAGCGCCTAGACTATCTCTGGTACATATTTAGACATAGAAAAATATTGTAATTCCTATCACTCAATTTCTCCACTTCACAACAAATATCCATAATAAATTACTCCCTCTCTTAAAGCAATTTTATACTACCCACTAGCTATGAGCACAACAGAATTTAAAACATTTTTTTTTTTAAACAAATGAATGGAACTTACTGGTAAAAAGATTACTTAGTGAATTTTCCTTCATTGATTCTTTTGAAGATGAAATACCAATATGTACAATAAAAATGTATGGTGCATCCTGCCACGTTTTCAATGGTTCATGCATTACCTAGAGTGGGAAAAAGACATTAAATCTTCCAGTCTTAAGAATTTAGAACACAGGATAATAATAAAATGTGAAAATTTTGCTCCAGAAATCTGCCCAGAAACATGGTAGAGTCTTTCACTTTCATCCATTAAAACAGGAGACATAACAACAAAAGACATCTAAGTATATACAATAAAAGAGTTTAATTATAAATTAGAAAGGCAGAATATCTGCTACCCTGTTACACACAAAATTCACATGTTTATTTATTTTTATTATGAGGAAAACTTCAACTAGAAGCATTAAATGTGTTTAACCAAATCATGTTGGGATATTAAGTTACACTTTACACAGATGTCTTCAACAAACTAAGATTATTTAATCACCTAAAAAAATCCATGATGATGTAAGTATGAATTATAAACAATTTTTTAATCTAATACCCTTTTCTTAATGGCTGAAATTTCTGCCAGTATAGTCTCTCATTTTTATCAAAAATGTAATCTTGTGCTAGTATATATATAAAGGAAGATTCACCACTCCTCAAAGACAAGGAAGTTAACAGCCTCAGTGCCGACAGAACGGATTACTCAGGAAGAATCTGATTCAAGGACAGAGAGCTTGTGCACACCCATAGGAAAAAGCCTTCAAAAGATTCATAGCCATAGATACAACAGAGGCATGTAGAAAATAACTGGTTTCTTCTTCCATGCATCTAAAATAAAAGACTGCTGAGTTAGATCTGCAATTTATTATGATCTTCTCCTAAAAGGAGCAGCTTTATCCAAGGATCTCTGGGAGATCTTCAGTTGACTAGGAAGCCCTTCAAATTTTCCCATTTACGCATTTTCCTAGGGGACCACAGCTTTTACCCAATTCTCAAAAGGTTCTACAACCCAAGAAAATGTTATTTATTAGCTTATCTTAGTAACTTAAGAACATAAATGCCATCCTGAATCATATGTGGATTTATCTCAACCTCATCTCTCTCTAAGAAGCTCTGGTGGTGCAATGCCTAAGGCATTTGACTGCTAACCAGAAGGTTGGGAGTTCAAACTCACCAGCCATTCTGTGGAAGGAAGATGGGGCAATCTACTTCCGTAAAGATTTACCTCCTCAGAAACTCAACAGGGGTGCTGTGAGTCAGAAGTGACTCAACGGCAGTGGGTTTTTGGTTAACCTCTCTCTGATAAGAAAATTTACAGCCTCAAAGTTATAGGTACATCACACATCCTATTACCCAAAATTAACTGAATCTTTCCTGAACCTATTCATTAACCTATAACACTTTGGAGTAATAAGCTGTTCTGTCATTAGTTTTATGTTATCTTAAAACTATCTTTTCTAAATTTCAAGAGGGAATGATTAATTCTCCTACTCCAGAATGTGACAAAGCTTACATCTAATTCCAGAAATACAAAAAGTCCGACTTGTAAAAAGAATACGTGTTATGCCAGGCATTCTGTTAAGCATGTAACATGTATTACCTACTTCACCCTCACAATAATCCTATCGAGTAAGCATTATTATGAACTACATTTTATACTTTAAGAAACAGAGGCATAAGGAAAGTAAGAACTTATGGAGTTGGATTCTAAATCTAGGACATCGACTCCATTGCTCTTAATTAACCACTACCTCAATTACTTTTTATCTCCTCTAAGCTTAATAGACTATTTAAAAAAACTCAGAGTCTTTGCAATATTGCCTCAAAAATTTCAATTTCCCTCAATAAACCTTTACTAACCTCATTAGGTATTTAGTAAGGTAAGAAGATTATAGCTGCATGTGATACCTCAGACACCAATGTTCCTAGAAAAATATACTGTAAGACTGGTTTTGTTCTTAATACATTTAATTTGTATATTATTAATTTGTATTTTTTATCAAGTACTCCTTTGTCAAAATTATGATGGTAAATATAACCAGATTACCACTTAAATCACCAGAAATCTGAATTAATTGAAAAGAATAAAATGTTTTCATGGGGAGAAAGATAAGAAGAGGACTTTACCCTCACACATTTGTTTTATCTGAGCTTTAAAAAAAACAAGAGGGTGGGTGGGGAAGTGAATTTGTGAGTATCCGTCTTAAAAGGATTAAGCACTATTTTACCCTTTAGGCCCAATTTTCAGAAAAGAAGATCATTCCATGATTTTTTGCTTAACTATAATATTAATAAGTATTTATAAATATTACTTGTGATAGTCATTCAAAAGGGTCATCTTTCAGCCAGCTTTGGATATTAAGAACAAGGTCCAAGCCTTCAGAAAAATTTAAAGTATGCTAGGCCCAGAAGGCAACTGAATAAACCACAATTACAAACAACCAACATGCATTTAACTGAAAGTTACACTTCAATTTTTTCAGTATAATTTATAATAATAAATCCCCACTTTCACCTGACAAATTGCATATAATCTGTTTTATATAATACCAACCATTGTTGGTGAGGAAAAAGGGAAAGTTCCCCTGACTTTGTTGGAACCATAAACCGTTACAGTTTCTGCACAGCAATTTGACAAACCAGAGAAAAAACCTTTTTGAACTGTTCATACACTTGGATCAGCAATTCTGCCTGTAGGAATTTAGCCTAAAGAAAACATTATAAACACACACATGTAGCTAGTATCATGAATTATCTGTAATAGCAACAAACTGGAAACAATCCAAATGTCTATCAATTGGGATATGATTATAAAAATCATGGTAAAATGAAATATTATGCAACCAACAAAAAAAGTGAGGTAGTGGAGAGAACAATCATGGGAGAAGGAAGGGCTGCTTATGCACAGGGAGATAGCTCAGGGTGCAGAAGAGTATGAAGGGATGGACACTGGGAGGAGGTAA